CTCGTCATGCTCGTCACACTGTATAACTGATTTGGGCTTACATTTTATTTTTATTTTTGGGAATCCAAAAAGTCCCAATAGCTATGACAAAAATTAAGGGAGATAGAGGACATCCCTAGTGCGTACCCTGTGACAAAATAATCAAAATTAACATGGTTAGTATACAGTATATGGATGCTTGAGGCTCAACATATAATAAATGTATCCATGATATTGATCCATCCCCAAAGCCGAACTCCTTAGGCACCATAAAAAGATAGTCCTATTCTATCCTATCAAACATCTGTTTTGTGTCCAAGGAAAATACCACCTCAGAGGAGTTGCTGGTTTTTTTTTAGTATAAAAAAGTATGAAAATTAGAAAGGAATGTCGTCCTTTTAAAAATCTGGCTTGCTCCTCTGAGACAATACAGTGCTTTAATGCAGTCGTAATTGTTTAGGTGCTGATCAGGCTCATCAATGTGTCATCCTTGTGATTCAGTGCTTGACTTATAACTCTGAAAAGACACAACAACTGGGGCCAGAGCAGAGTCAATAGCTGATTTCACCTGTATTTCTATGGAAGATGTCAGCTTGGAGATCAAAGTGGTGTGAAGGTTTTCCAGATCCAGCGGTAGCTTGTCATCATGACTCTCTCAATTTAGTTTTCTGATGCCTTTTAGGAAACAAAAAATCCTTTCTGGCTACAATTGTAAACGGAGTAATTGTAAAAGAATAAGGCACCAAGTGTCTTAAAATCATTTGGGTTGCCTGAAAAGTACAATTAAAAGATTAAATCCTCGTTTATCCTTAATCCACGTTTGTCTTCTCACTCAGATGCTCAACCGGAAGTCTCGAATTAAAGCAGTACTGAAAGCAATAGCAGGTCCAATACGGTACTAGCAAGTTGTGTACCTAATAAAGATGCTAGTGAGTGTAAATGTTACCTGTAAAACTCATACCCATTATTTGCATAATTATGTATGCCAGTTTCATAGAGATACATCGTATGTAATTGTATGTTTGAGAACCAGTGGTTCTCAACTTCAGTCTTGGAAACCCAGCTCAGCACATTTTCTATGTTTTCTTTATTTAACGTCCTTGATCCACATAATAAGCTTATTAGCAGAGAACTCAATGAACTCAACAGGGTGTCAGATAACAGAGACATACAAAATGTGCAGAGCAGTGGGTCCCCAGAACCACCGTGCAAAACTACTTTTTTTCGAGGGGCAGTTGAGAGTGGTTAAACATTTTTCAGTATAATAATTTAATTTTAGCAATTTAATTGCACTTTAATAATATAACGTGTTTGCTACCTGAGCATCAGTGTTTGTTTTGCAACCTTTTGAGACAGTCCTTAGAGGTAAAGCTGGATTGTAGCATCATCTATGGGGAAGAACTCACATGTCTTGTCCTGTAAATTTAATAAATATGCAATGAAAGTGTAACTACAGTGTAATTCAAAAATATTTAGTACAGTGTAAAACGTTTTCACTGTAAATTTGCAGTAATTAATTGGAAGCAGTTTCACCTACAAAGTACTGTGTATGTATATATATATATATATATATATATTTTTTTTTTAGGTGTATATACAATTAGGGATGTAACGGTATGAAAATTTCTTATCATGATTATAGTGACCAAAATGATCACGGTTATCAGTATTATCACGGTATTGTTAAAATGAGATGGACATGTTCAAAGAGTACTGACACAAATAATTTCACTAAGTTTTACATTTAAAATCAACAAACAAAAAATAAAATGACTTTTTGTTTGCATAACTAACACAATAACATTGCCAATGATGTCCGGATTTTAAATGGCAACATGACTGACAACAGTTTATCTAATAGCATGTTCAAATATCTAATGTAAATGTTCAAATAAAGCTTTGAAAAAGTTTCATAAATGGTAAACCTCACATTTCAGCTTTTAAATAAAGAAAAGGATCAAGTCAAAATGATAATTGATTAATAAATGATTATATGTATTTTATCTGCTCCATAAATAATATTAGATACCTTATTGTTTAAATGTGTAGAATCCACATTTAGCTTGTTTTTCATCAACCGGTCAAAATTTACAGCAGGGCATGCACATTCGGTAAATTTTTTGATCAGACAGAAACTGCACACAGGATGAATATAAATGTAACTCTCTGTAAATCCACTCTCTGACACTAGGTGGCACTTTTGGAACAGTAGAATTAGAGCTGTTTCCCGTAACCTCCAAGACAAAACAGCATTGCGCTTAAAACACTACTTTATTAGGTATTACATGGAGCGAAGACGAAAACAAAATGCCATCAAATCTTTTCTGAAGACAATTTTTTTTTTTAATTTGTATAATT